TTAGAGAGGCAGAGCACTCTTTATGCACCCAACTAAAATCTTGAACACCTCTTGCTAAGCTGTGAATTCTTTTCCCCTGGCTGGTTATATACATTAAAATTAACTGGGTTTGCACAAAGTAGAATACAGGTAGTCCTCAATTTACAACTTAGTGACTGTTCAAAGTTACAACAGTACTGAAAAAGTGACTCACGACCATTTTTCATACTTATGAGCATTGGAGCATCCCCATGGTCGCATGGGGACTTGGCAACTGACTTGCATTTATGACAGCTGCAGTGTCCTGGGATCACATGATCTCTTTTCGCAAGCTTTTGACAGGCACAATCATTGGGGAAGCATGTCTTTAGGTCACGACTAACACAATACAATAATACAATATATTGTATTGTTAATACAATACAATGCCTACATTGAAATTCAGGTAGTTTTCATCTTACGACCATTCTTTTGTCAACCATTCAAAGTTACGACAATGATGAAAAAAATGACTTGCAACCTGTCCATTTGTTTGGGACTCCTGCCTTGGGCAGGGGGTTGGGCTAGAAGACCCCCAAGGTGCATTCCAGCCCTATGAGTCTATGCTTCAGATGGGTGATCCAGCTGCAAACGTCTCAGTGTTATTCCTATTTTTCATTCACTCTTTTTGCGATTCTTTATTTGCATCTGTTTTAATGTCTGTTCTGCTCCTCTTAACCATCTTCAATGTACTGATGTCCAGCCAGAGCAGGTGGTAGTATCTGACCTGCTGACCCCAGGAACTAGAAAGCCACACTAGGCCTGATTATTACTTGAATGAGAGACCACGGGAAGATGCAGAGCGGGAGGCTCCACTGCGGAGCTGAGAAAACCATTTGTGAGATGATAGTGGCAAACCACTTTGGGAGCATATATAAAATAGCAAAGAAATTTTATGGGGTTTCTTTTTTGTGTTTTTAAACCTGTTAAATTTTTTCCTATTTTAATCCCCTCTGAACGGGGCATCACTGTTTTGAAAGGGGAAAGCTAGAAACCTTCATATAAATCCTTTGTCAACCACACCCCAAACCACAAAGGATTGCTCAGCCTTGGACTGTTTTCACCCAAAAAATCCACTCAAGTTAATTGCGGTTTTCTCTTCTGTTTTCATTCTGCAAAATCTCAATAAAAAACCCTCCATTTCATCCATCCCAATGCGGTCGGAAAGACCGAGAGAGTAATGATCCCCAAGAGAAGGCACTCCTGCTCCAAATGTATGCTTCATCTGGCCACAAGGCCAACAAGCCATAGAGTAAATTGGTTAATTTATAGTAGGTTGGCTGTACGTGACTGGAGAGCGAAAAGTTTTGATTTATTAAATTTGGCTGATCAGAGACAGACTGCATTGCTCCAGTTCCCTCAAATAGTAACATTATCTTACGATATAATGAAGTTGACAGCATCCCCAGATAATGACTTATATACCCTACAAGAAGATAAGCTGTTTAACATCATTTCTTCTCTGGGGGAACAAAACTGCTATTTTTCTTGTTTAGATTTTTGCTATTCCCTGCATACACAACTGTTTCCCTAACTGGGTGCATCTCTAATGCCAGCTGCAAGGTAGCAGGTAAAGGAAGAGCAGAAAAAGTCAATCAGGTTGAATGACAATGACGAGCACCTTACAGGCAGTCCTTGACTTGCAACCACAGCTTGGAATTTCGGTCATTAAGTTGCTGTGGTCATAAGGCGAGATGCCTCATGACCAGATTTGATTTTACGGCCATTTTTATGATAGTCATAAAGCAGGTCACTATGCTTGTAAAGCAAACCATGTGATTCTTAAAGGAATCAGCTTCCCTAATGCTGGAAAGCAGCAAAATATGCAAGAATTTGGCAAAAAAACCTCCACAAATTCCAGTCACAATATTGTGGGACACTACAACTGATCATGAATGCAAGCTAGCTGCCCAGCACCTGAGATGTGACCACATGATGTATGCGTGTGAGAGAGCATACATGCACGTGCAACAGTACAGATAGTCCTAGACTTACAACCACAATTGAGCTCAAAATGTCTGTTGTCAAGTTAGACATTCGTTAAGTGAGTTTTGCCCCATTTTACAATCTGTCTTGTCACAGTTGTTGAATGAATCACTGTAGTTGTTAAGTTAGTAACATGGTTGTTAAGTGAACCTGGCTTCCCCAATGGCTTTGCTTGTCAGAAGGTCACAAAAGGGGATCACATGGCCTTGGGACACTACAACTGTTACAAATATGAACCAGTTGCCAAGCATCCAAATTTTGATCACATAATCATGGGGATGTTGCAAAGGTTGTAATTGTGAAAACGGTCATAAGTCAAATTTGTCAGTGTCATGGTAACTTTGAATGGCTACTAAATGAACTGTTGTAAGTCGAGGACTACTTATAGTAACTTTGAGGATGGGTCGTAGTCCATCATAACTTCAAATGGTTGTTAAACAATCAGTCATAAGTCTATAGAAGATCATCTGAAGCCAACCAGGACTGTGCATTCAAATCAAGCAAAGTTTTACGCGCCCAGGACACTGTGGGGAGGAAAAGGACTCCAGAATTTGAAATGAACCCCTTGCTGGCCTGATACAGGAGCTCAAGGAAGCATCCAGGATTTAGAGCTCAGAAGAAAACCGGTCATTTAATCAACACTGTGCCACTTCTTGTTTGTTGACACCAGAACACAAAAATCTTTGTTTCCCTGCTAAGCTGAGCCATTCGTTCTCCCTGCTGGAATTTTATCGCACTGGTAAAAGCCACAGGATGTTCCAAAGATGCCTTGGTACTTTCTTGGTTCTTTCTTTGAAAACAATTAGCCTCTCATCCAAGAAGCTTTTTCAGAATTGATGAGAAGTGAAATATTTTCAAAGAACCAAGAAAGTCCAAGTTGCCTTTTGGGGAAAAAAATACCTTTGGGACAACCATGACCTGGAGGATTGAGACTCTCCATAGACAAAACCACAGGATATTCATGAAGAAAGCTGCATGTTTCTTCCCAGGCACTTCCCTGCATGTCTCTAGTACTCCTAACAATCTGAGTATTCCTCAATCTATGATACAATCTTTATGCCTATATTTTGATCCATCCATCCAAGTCAAGAAGGCCTGTCTAAATAAACTGTTAAAGACCATTGTCTGTCTTGGCTTCCATTTGTCAGATCTTCTCCTTAACTTGGTGGCCTCCAGATGCTTTGAATTCCAATCAGCCCTTGGGGACACAGATGTGGAAAATGGAAAAGACCTCTGCAGCAGAGATTTGAAACACAAATCTGGAACACAGAGAAGTCTTCAGACTCAGTTCTGGAACATTGGGAAAATCTCTCAAGCAAAGAAAACAGCCCGGGAGGATCAGTTTGGAGCACAGAGAAGATCTCTAGAAGGGACCATGTGGAGAAAGCTGGCCTAGATAAAACAAAATATAGATATGGTCCAACTTGGCCAAATCCAAACACAATGGATCATAGTTTCAATCCTATAAGGTTGACCAGATCAAGAAACCAAGGCCATATAAATCTGAAACTATTTTTATTGGACAAGATATAGTGACAGAATTGTGGAAGACTGAATGTGCCTCCTCCTCCCTCACTTTATCTTTGTGAGAACTAGGAATAGCATGTCTGAGACTTTTATTCACACTACCTTTTTGCCCTGGGCTTAGTACTCTTTTATCTACCAAGACTGTTGCCTTGGTAATGGATTTTCCTCTTGCACTTCAAGGCCATTGTGTTTTGCACTGCTCCCCTCACTCACACACACACACACACACACACACACACAGTTCTACAACTGTTTATTCAAACCCCCACCCTCCCCCCAAACAGGTCCTCGGAAAGCAACCTTATTGTGCAGGTTCAGATTCCAAGCTTAGCACTGCAAGAATCACTGGATAAACCAAGTCCAACGGGCACACACAAAGTCCAGGAAAAGAAACCACAAGTCAAACGGTTCAGGATACCGGCCACAAACACACAAGGCACAGAACTGGGCACATTGCTCCAGCAACGCTCAGGTTCTCGGGGGGGGATCAAGTACCGGTAGGTGGCCCTTCACAATGGATGAGGTTGCCTCCTTGCGAGTAGTCTAGCCAACCAGCTTTGTGCCTGTCTCCTCTCTGCCCTACGTCTCCTTGGATCGGGAGGAGGTGTAGACTCCAATACCTCCTCCTCCTCACTAACAGGTGGCAGCTACTCCCGTTAGACCAACTCGCTGCAGCTGCAACTCACCTTGCTCCGCCTCAGCCTGTCACTCGCCTGGTTGACCCAGCTGAAGCTGCTCAGTCAGACTAGCACTCTCTAAGCCCCGATCCGGGGCCATCGTTCAGCCCTGCGCTTTTCTCTGCTGACTAAAACTCCTCCTCCTCCTCCGAGCTCACGTCCCGAGACGGGTCTGGGGGTGGATCCATGACACATTGCCTAAGCCCTCTACATCTAGCTTGTCCTTAGCATACACGTGTGTCTTTGTATGTGTGTATGTGTCTAATATAAATATGTTTTTATTTTATTATTTCCTTATATTTCTATATTATATATTATTATACATTTAGTTGAACACTCTTGGCAAATGGTCTTGTTTTTCCTAACTTGGGTCTATGACTGCAGGAAAGCTATCATAAGGTTCTGTATATCATCGTGAATTCCAAATTCACCTGAGAGGGAAACAATTATGGTGCAAATTGGAAGCCACAATAAATGGCACCAGCACGTTGCTCAGGTTATTTCAGTAGCATCTCTGCAAAGACCAAGAAAAAAAGGAGATCAAAGCTGCAGACAACTGGAAAATTGCCCCAGTGTTTTTTTTCTCTCCAATATCCCTATAGAAGGAAAGGTGATTACAAGCCCCTGATCAATCTCTAGCCCAAGTGGCATTTTTTACTTTGCCGTGACATATCGTAATCTAATGGCTAAAACTGTAATACAAAATCTGACAAACCTGCAATAGAGATAGATCTTACACACCTTTTATGTCAGAGCAGAGGCAGTTAGAGAAACAAAGGAAGGATGACTTACTTTATTGAGTAGCAGTTGCTTTGCTCCAGGCTGGAGAGGTCTCCATCTACTTCGGCCATTCTTAGTGTCTCGGCGCACCTCCAATGTTTTTGACCCCAGATCATGTTCAGCTGCCAGGATGAGATTCAATGAAATCATCGTCACAACCGGTTTTCAAAATGTCCCCTCGGTGCCCAGGGAGAAAGGGACCAAACTAGTTTAGGAGTTGGGGTTATTGCTAAAACAAGGCTGAATTCACACAATGTACTAAATATCAATGTCAGGTTCAGAAAGCACAATTTGTAGGAAATATATTCTACCCAATTAAACCATGGCATATTTTATTTATTTATATATTAAATTTGTTTGCCACCCATCTCGCCTTGGCGTGATTGGGCAGTTTACAACATTAATCTGGCTGCTTAGCCGACAGAATTCACTCAAACCTGTAGGGCTGGGCTCCTACTATTTGGAATTATAAACCTCTCAATCCCCTTTTAGCCTAATCCAGCATGTTGCACAATCTTAGCCTTTCTCTCTCCTTACAGTCATAAAATGATAATTCAGAAAGCTGCTGATGCTCAAATTTAAGTCACGTTAACACCCTCCAATGAAACCCAAGTATTTAATTTTAATTTCAGTTAAATGTCTCCTGGACGGAAACTTGATTGGGTATTTCCTGGTCCCTCTCTGGCTGAAAACTCTAAAGTTCTGAAGGAGAATACAGGTAGTCCTCAACTTACAATAGTTCATTTAGTCCAAAGTTACAACAGCACTGAAAAAAGTGACTTATGACCATTATTCATTGATACAACTTTTGTAGCATTTCCATGATCATTTGATCAAAATTCAGATGCTTGGCAACTGGTTCATACTTATGACCACTGCTGTGCCTCAGGATCATGTGATCCCCTTTTGCAACCTTTTCACAAGCAAATCAATGGGAAATCCAGATCCACTTAACAACCGCAGGAGTCCCGCAGGAGAAGGGCGGTATAGAAATATAATAAAATAAATATAATAAAATAAACCAGGTTACTAATTTATCAACTGCAGGGATTCACTTAATAACCATGGCAAGAAAAATCATAACATGAGGCAAAAATCACTAAGCAAATGTCTCACTTAACAACATAAATTTTTGGGCTCAATTGTAGTGGTAAGTCGAGGACTACCTTTCGTGAAGCCCACCAGGAAGGATAATAGAGCAACAAAGATATTATGTTCATTGGTGAATCCCAGAGTCCATCATGATCTTGTCCAACAGGACCGACTCTGGTCATCCACCTGGAGGACAAGCAGCTGGTTCCAAACTGCAGGACTTCTGTTCCCAGGCTCACACTGATCACCGAAGACAGGAGTTATGCTTTTATTTACTAATTTACGGTAATTTATAAGTCAAATGGCAGCTAATTGGCAGCAAATTCAGTGGAACACATAAAACAGATTAATATGTTCAGCTGGAGAGAACCGATGGCCTTGTTTCTTCAAGTAGAAGTCAGGTAGATGGAAGAGAAATGGATTCCCACCCAGATTTTGCTTCTTTTTGTGCCCAGAAACCAGAGAAAGACAATTGTACTAGCAGGACTATTATTATTAGGCTTGGTTGCACTGTCAGCCAGATGTTTAGACTAGATTTGGCATGTCTGTGTAACCCACTGAATCCTTCCCAAGGATCTGGGATAGGCAGATGTTGTTGTTTAATAATATTGAAGATATTGTCAAAATTATTGCAAGTATCTTATTATTACTTAACCAACCTTGTTTATATCTATCTCTCCATCATCCCCACATCTATCTATCCATCCATCCATTTCTCTCTTTCTCTCTCCTTTTTTCTCTCTCCCTCTCTCCAAGCCCCCTCCTGCTCTCTAAGCCAGCAGTGAACCAAGCTGGATTTCTACTAACTGGAGTCTAAGTTTTGATCACCCTTAAGAAACTGTCCCCATTTCATATTATTTTAAATTTCCATTCCAGAATAAGGTGACGCCAACGAGGATGAATAATTGAGTAAGATGATATTTTTTTTAAAAAAAAATGGAAAAATATATTCTGCATATTATGGGGAACAGGTTCTCCAAAGAATGTCCTGCTGAGATTTTATGAATCATTTCAGACAACCAATGCTCTGACTCAGTGCAAATTCACCACAAATTTGGGCAGCAAACTTTCTCCCTGGCAGTCAAAGCAGGACTGCAAACATGAAAGAAAAGGTAGTCATTGAGTTACAACCACAACTGAGCCCACAGTTTATGTTGCGAAGTGAAACATTTGTTAAGAGAAATTTGTCCCATTTTACAGCCATTATGCCATAGTTGTTAAGTGAATCACGGCAATTGTTATATTAGTAACACAGTGAATCTGGTTTTCCCATTAACTTTGCTTATCAGAAGGTCACAAAAGGGGATCACATGACCCTAGGACACTGCAACCGTCACAAATACGAACCAGGTGAATTAGAAGAACAGAACCACACAAAAGTTAACCCCAAAATGCCCCGAACAATCGAAGCGGACCAAGTTCATCCAATGAAGACTCGGCTCTTGAGTAACTCCAGAACACGCAACGTCCAATGAAAAAGGAGAAAGGGGAGGGGGGGCCGCTCTGCCTGAGCCCCCATTCTAGAGGAGAACACATTTGACTGACAAAAACAAGGATACACTACAGGTAGTCCTCGACTTACGAACACAATTGGGACCAGAATTTCCACTGCAAAGCAAGGAAGCTGTTAAGAAAGCCAGACCCAACTATACAACCTTTTTGCCATGGTTGTTAAGTGAATCATGCAGTTGTTAAGCAAATCTGGTTTCTTCTCTGACTGCCTGTCAGAAGGCACTGGGAAAGTTGCAAATGGCAATCATGTGACTACCCTGCAACCATTATAAATACAGGTAATCCTCGACTTGCAACAGTTTGCTTAGTGACCATTCAAAGTTACAACGCACCAAAAAATGACCATTTTTCACACTTATGACTGTTGCATTCCCATGGTCACATGCTTTACATGCTGACTCATAGTTATGACAGTTGCAGTGTCCTGGGGTCATGTGATCCCCTTTTGCAACCTTCTGACAAGCAAAGTCAATGGAGAAGCCAGATTCACTTAACAACCGGGTTACTAATTTAACAACTGCAGTGATTCGCTTAACAAATGTGGCAAGAAAAGTCGTAAAATGGGGCAAAACTCACTTAACAAATTTCTCACTTAACAACATACATTTTAGACTCAGTTATGGTCATAAGTCAAGGACTATCTGTTCATACCAGTTGCCAAGTGCCTGAATTTTGATCACATGACCATGGGGAATGCTGCAACAGTTATAAGCATGAGAACCAGTTGTAAGTCACTTTTTTCAATGTCATCATAACAATGGTTGTAGGTTGAAACTACCAGTACAAGATTTGCAATTTATTTTACAGGCCCTATATATTGCTTTGAAAGAGTGGTGTGGCGGCCTAGCCTCCCTTTTGGAAAGTTGAGAGTTCAATCCTAGGTAGCAAATGTTTCTCCCCTAGGGTGGAAAAAAAATAATATCTGCTGTGAACTCCACGTGGCATCAGGAAAGGCATCCAGCCAGTAAACGCTCAGCTCCGGGCAGTCGTCACGACTCTAACCCAGGATTACAGGGTCATAAAAGTAAGGTTTTATTATTGCTTTGAAGAAAAAGTAGCGCGGAATCCTCCAATCATTCTGAGATGCAGCTTCAGAAAGTGTCATCAGCATTCTCCCAAGATGGCTACCATAAAGCCTGTATGAGCATATCTGCCACTAAAATCCAACCCCATCTTCTAGAGTTAGCCCCCTTTCTTAACATGCATTCATACATGAAATCTAAAGTCAAGTTTTTGCACATCAGGCACAACTCTTAGGAAACTTCACATACCAAACAATCTTCTACCCACTACTTCCTCTTATTTACTTATTTATTTATTTATTGGTTCGATTTATATGCCGCTCTTTTCCGGAGACTCAGGGTGGTTTACAATGTATTAAGCAATAGCCTTCATACTTTTGTATATACCTGCTTAGTAGGGCTTTCGCACCCCCACCCCAGCGGTGTTCTTTTTTATACAAAGTCAGCTTATTGCCCCCACAAACCGGGTCCTCATTTTACCTACCTCAAAAGGATGGAAGGCTGAGTCAACCTTGAGCCTGGTGAGATTTGAACTTGCAATAATTGCAGGCAGCTGGTGTTACTTAACAGTGCTTTAGTCTGCTGTGCCACCAAGGCTCTAAGGCAACATCTAGCTTAGGAGGGTCCATTAATATGGGACTTACCAGCAGAGCTGATCAAGAGCTTCTGTTTCCATTCTAGCTGATCCAATCCCATTGGGGTGCTCTTGGAGAGTGGGAGGGAGTGACATCGGTCCAAAAAAAGTTTGAACGGAGGAGGAGATGCTGGAGATGGGCAGAGAGGGTGAGATCGTGGCTGCGGAAGGGAGAGACAGGAATTGATGTAAAGACAAAATGACTGCAAAGTTTTTTTTAACAAAATGTAAAAAAACCACCCCAAATGTCAAGATACCTTCATTTCACTCATGTACAAGAAGAAAGAGCAGCACAGTGTTGAAATGCAATGTGTAACATCTTCATCAACTGAGGTGGAATTTGCTCACATTCAAAGATATCATGATCTCTTGTGCAGTTAATGTGCTTTTACTTAAGAAAGAAATAGGCCAAACAAGAAAGTAATGACAATGAGCAGGAACAAATATACACTCATCTTTCTTTCTTCCTTCCTTCCTTCCTTTCTCTTCCTTTCTTTCTTTTCTTTTTCTTTCCTTCTTTTTCTGTCTTTTTCTTTCGTCTTCCTTTCCTCTCCTTCCTCTCCTTCCTTCTTCCCTCTTTCCTTTTCTTTCCTCCCTCCCTCCCTCCCTCTATTTTACATTATTAGGTTCCAGTCTTTAAGTCAACAGTCCTTTCAGACATTGTAGAAGGAGAGTCTTTGGCAGCCTCAAATCAGAAGATGTCTGATAGCAGCTTTTTAGACCAATGCATTTTTTAAAAAAGATATGATTTTGTTACCAAACTTCAGCAAACGCATCAAATCCTACCCCAAATTGGCCCATCTATGCAACTGATGAAGTAAACTATAGCTCACAAAAGCTAATGCCTTTTAATAATGTTAGTCTGGAAAGATGCTGCCAGCCCCCTCTTAATTTTTGACAATCTTTTCAGGTAACCTTAGCATCTCTACATGGGGCTCCCCTTGAAAAACACCCGGAGGCTCCAACTGGTCCAGAATGTAGCCGCGTGGGTGATTATGGGCGCAGCTCGTTGTGCCCATGTAATACCTCTCCTACGCGAGCTGCACTGGGTCCCGGAGGTCTTCCGGGTGCGATTCAAGGTGTTAGTTATCACCTTTAAAGCGCTCCATGGCTTAGGACCTGGGTACCTACGAGACTGTCTTTTGCCACCAATAGCCTCCCACCGACCAGTTCGTTCTCACAGGGAGGGACTACTCAGAGTACCGTCAAATTATGCCGACTGGCGACTCCCAGGGGGAGGGCCTTCTCTGTGAGGGCTCCAACCCTTTGGAATGAACTGCCCCCTGAGATACGAAATATCCCTGATCTCCGTGCTTCCCGCCGTGCCCTCAAGACCCTTATGTTCCAACAAGCGGGGCTAAACATATGAACATGTGAATGTTTTTAAAATGTTATTTAATTTTAGGTTCTATTTAATTAGGCCAAACTATGTTATAATAATAATTTTAATTAGCAATTTTATGATGTTTGTGTATCTATATTTTTCTTGACGGTACACCGTCTTGAGTCCTACGGGAGAAAGGCGGTATAGAAATATAATAAATAAATAAATAAATAAATAAATAAATAAATAAATAAATAAATAAATAAATAAATAAATAAATAAAGGCACAAAAACAACACATATATAGAAAATTTCCTTGAACCACTGGATCTTGCAAAAAGTCCGATACTCCATGATAGTTCACCATTCTCAGCTCAGAATTTCATAGGATATGAGTGAGAGAACTAAGATCTTCTTAAGCTTTTAACCTTCCCTCTTTTCCGCCAATTACTGAATTTGGGGATTCTTTTTTTTTTAATTTTTATTAAACATTTTCAACATTAAAAAACAAAACACAAATTTTCACTCATTTCAGCATTTCCATATCGGTATCAATATCATCTATAACATTCATATTTACATAGGTTCTATTTCTACGGTTCACTATCCTATATTATACAATCATTTGAATTATAATATTTACACACAAATATGATATAATCATATTTTCATCAATATTATATAATTCTTATACAATAATTTAACTCCTATTCTCTAGCCATGTATACCATCTATTCCAAACTTGATAGTACTCCGATTCTTCTCTCTCTTTCAATTACATGGTCAACCTATCCATCTCTGCACACTCAAGTACCTTTCTTATTATCATTGCCTCTGAAGGAATATTAGTCTGTTTCCAATTATGAGCAAAAACGATTCTGGTTGCAGTTAATATATGTAATATTATATATTAGATTTTTTTACCCATTTTCCCATCTAAAATGCCCAATAAAAATAGTTCTGACTTCAGTTTGATCTTCAGTAATTTCTTCCAACCATTCCCTTATTTTATGCCAATACTTTCTGGCTTTGGGGCAGGTCCACCACATATGGTAGAAAGTTCCCTGTTTATAACTACATCTCCAGCATTCAGGTGAACGATTTGGAAACATTTTGGCCAATCTCTCTGGGGGTAAATGCCAACGATAAAACATTTTGTAAAGGTTTTCCTTATAGGCTGCTGACATCGTTAGTTTATATTTTTTCTCCCATAATTCATCTCAATAATCTAGTTCAATACTATATCCAAAATTTCTAGCCCAGCTTATCATCGTCTCCTTCACAGTTTCTTTTTCCATTTTAAATCTTAGGAAGAGGTTATATGCTTCGGTAATCATGTTTTTCCCTGTCCCTAGTTATATTTTATCCAATTCCAGTTGTTTTCCATAGATGCCATACTGTTCTAAATCTTTTTTATATCTTGTCCTGATTTGGAGATAAGGCCACCAATCAATCTTTATTCCTTGATTCTTTAGTTCCCCTGATCAGATTTTAATTCTCCTTGTTCATCCAATAGTTTTGTATATCTCACCACCTTATTTAAATGTAATACGTTTGAGTAAAACATCACCTCCATCAGGGGTGGGTTCTAAATTTTTTTACTACCGGTTCTGTGGGCGTGGCTTATTTTGTGGGCATGGCTTGAAGGTCATGTGACAGTGGGCATGGCTTGAAGGTCATGTGACTGGGTAGGCATGGCCAACTCAATGTCACTCACATCAAGCGGTGTCTCACCTGGCCCCTCCCCTCCCAGCCATTCCTTGTCACACCCAGCCTCAACGTATCTATAGTTCTGTAAAAATGTTGTTCACCTTTTTTCAACTTTATTATCTACATACTATAGATGCACTTTCATGGACCACTGAAAGAAGGAAATGGCTCACATGCTTTGCCCAAGAGTGTGATAGGCAACAGGCTTTTAAGGGGCTGCCAGAAAGAAGGGGGGGCAATGTATTTTCCAAAGCACCAGAAGGCAAAGCAAGAAGCAATGGATGGAAACTGAACAAAGAGAGAAGCAACCTAAAACTAAGGAGAAACTTCCTGACAGTGTGAACCAATATAGGTGCAGAAATATTTCAGTCATGATTTCACATATAAAATAGCCATTCGTGTAATACAACTTACCTATTGTTCAAAACAGACATTAGTATTATGGCTGATGTTTGACAGCAAGCCTAAAAGTCAAAGATTACAAGAGTGCTTCTTTCTCTGTATGTATACAAAACTCCCCCCTCTTCATTTCCCCAAATAAAATATTACTCATAAGAAAAGCAAGGAAAAATCAAGCTGCTATGAAGGAACCTGCCTGATACTCATTCCACATTCCTGCCAGCTGCATAAAGGAAACTTTGTAAGAAGGAAACAGCTACTGATGCTTAGAGATAATATAAAGTGGAAGCTGGAAGTTTGGCTCCATTTACAAGCAGGCAGAAAACTCATTCAAGACAGGGTATTTCACAATGGAAATCGCCCAAACCTTTTTATAAACACAAAGCCCATGTTGCACAAACCCCAAAACTTCAAAAACATAGAACCATATAAGAATCCCTCCTCTTATCCAGTTTGTTGTTCAGCTGACCCAGAAACAAACTGCTGAATGTCACTTTGCTTCTGAAAGCAAAAACTTCCTTCCAGCAGCTGCATCTTGGCTTGTCAATTTAAAGCGAAGGCTCTTTTTTTTTCCCCCTTCTTCTTTGCCAAGTGACCTCCTGGCTGAGAAGCAATCAGTTGGGAGGCTTCTCGATTTAAAGTGACGGTGTCTTTTTTTTTTTTCCCCCTCTTCTTTTTCAAGTGAGCCCTGATTTTTTCCTTCTAGCCGATCAGCTGGGAGTCGGAGGCAGCCAATAGATTGGGGGCGGGGCCAGGCAGAGGTGGTATTTACCGGTTCTCCGAACTACTCAAAATTTTCACTACCGGTTCTTGTGAACCGGGGAGAACCAGTAGCAACCCACCACTGACCTCCATTGTCGATAACCAAATTGGAACTTTCATATAATGATTTTTCTTAATTTTTTTCCCAGATGCTTATCAAGGCTTCTCTCACTAAGTGTCTCTGGAAATATGTGTGGGTTTTCTTTTTCCTCTCTCAGAGGAATGCGTGCAAACCGAGTTGGAGGTCCTGGCCCACTAATGTTAATACCCTTTTATTGTTCAATTGAATCCAGTCTTTAAGCCACGTCAGGGCTCCCCCGTGGTTCCCAGTCAGGGAAGCCAAAAAACCCCTTCTTTCTAGAATCTTGCAAAAGTTTGAGTTTTATTTGGGCTTTTTTCCCCAACCAAATAAATTTTGTTATTATTTTATTTAATTGTTTGAAAAAAAATTTCCCTAGCTTTATTGGTACCGTTTGGAAGAGATATAAAAATTTAGGTAATATATTCATTTTTATTGTAGCAATTCTGCCAATTAGTGATATTTGTAATTTCGCCCAGTTATCCAAATCTTTTTGTACTTGTTGTAATAATTTATTGTAATTGTCCTCTTTTATCAAAGAACATTTCGCCATTAACCAAATTCCCAAGTATTTCACTTTCTTGGCAGTTTGGATCCTCAATTTCTCTTCCAGTTCCTCATTTTACCTCTTAGTAAGATTCTTAGTTAGTATTTTAGTTTTTTCTTTATTTATTTTAAGCCCTGCTATTTTGTCGAATTCTTCTATTTCCTGTAATAATATGGTTCCCATCTCTAGGGGATCTTCTATGATAAAGGCCAAATCGTCTGCAAAGGCCTGTACTTTGTATTCTTCCTTTTTAATTCTCAATCCTTTTATTTCCTGCTTTTGCCTAATTTGTACCAATAATGTTTCCAACAAGAAAATAAATAGAAGGTGGGATAGATTC